GGGGAGGAAAGAGACCAAGACACACTTGGATATAACGGGCCCAGTGTTGTCGTGGGTCATGACATGCTCGGGGCGTATCATAACATAGTCTCCCGCTTTGACCGCCTTGCCTGGCGCAAGTCCAACCGCATACTTTTGGACAACTTTTTCGATGATTGTTTGAGGAACCCGCGGGCCAGCCCCAACTGTGGTGGCGAAACCCCGGGTCCGGGTCCAGCGCCCAAGGTGTTGCAAGTAGTACATGCGAGAGGCGGAGAGCCGGGCGCTGAGCTCAAAAATGATCTAACTCACGATACATGTATGGACTCTACACAAACCACGACATAGACCGGCCAAGAGCGATGGCGACCGTGCACCTTCGACAACATAACGCACACGAAATCACTTAGGCTTTAGCGCTACGAAGATACCATTGAGACGACCGACTACAGCGAAAAGTGCAATATGTACAAGTTTCTTCCACGAAAAATACCTTGGCTCAATACCTTGCCTCGTTGAACTGCGCACTACTGGTACTCTTCGATAACCGAACGAGGTGTGAGATATTTTCCGATGGGGGCGAATTGGTGATCAAAACTAACAAACGGCGAGCAGTCAACGAAAATGAAAAGGCTCCGTAAAATGCTCACCCAAATGCAGCAGGTCCCCCACTTCGAAGTCCAGCCTCTGAATGCCAAAGAGGGCATCCGGCCATCGCAATAACTGCAAAATTTAGTCCTGGGGAATTGAACGCCTCGAAAAATACCTGTGACACGAAGACCGTAGCTGTCTACGAAAGGATTACGCCGTTTTTGTAGAACGAGACAACTCAAACTCACAGTCCTGCGATCCAAGGTTCGATCCACTCTGTGAATCCAAAACTGAGATCAAGTCCGGAACAATTGCCGCCAACTGGAGAAGCCCTGTCAGCGGAGGTACGACATCACGCCAGCAAATACCTCTCGAGCGCCGCCGTCTTTCTCGATATAAGCACACAAATTCTCATTTTGGAATGGAATAACCATGTGGTCGCCTGGGGCAGCGATGACAGTAGTCGTCCCAGGTTCCTCCTGTTCTTCATCAAGTAGCTGCGCAATTCGGATCTCTCCCCATGTAAAGCCCGCTCGCACTTCCTGTTCAATGGATGAGGACATCCCCTCGTCTTTAGCCTCGGACTTGCCCGCGAACAGCTGATGATCTTGCCAATGAAGAGACACACACCATTTTGCAGCTCCAGAATCGCGTTGGGAATAGCCTTGATGTTGCTAGAGGATCTCAATACCTGGACAACAATTCGACCGAAATATTTACTTTGTCTGTCGGCCAATGGATATAGCTCTGCCTATTCGCCAGGCTTGGCTTTGCGTACGAGGTATACCGTAGTCTCGAGCCTCACTGACCGCCAGAGGAGGGCAGCAAAGAGCCGCCGAGGACCCCATTTCCGTGGTCACCGTGCGCATTAGAGTTTCTACCATGTGTTCATTCTTGACTTTGGTGAGAAGCTATACAGTGCTCATTGGCGAGACCACGATTGTGAAGCAGGACACTGACGATGACATTGTTATCGCCGTCGGATAACGCAGCAGGGATGAGTCTTCGGGTGCACATAAATGATAAGCTGGGAGAGCAATGCTACAAAAGAACTTACGCATTGGGCCGATCATAAACAGCTGGTCGCAACACTTCAAGCGGCAGGCGCACATTCACAACAGACATACACACCTGGCAGAACCTGGTTCAGTTTGGGATACGCTAAATCAAGTGAGCAAGTCAGATATTGCACATAAATGGCGAAACGCACCGCGACCCATAAGATCACCATCGAATGCTGGTATACCATAGAAACCGGCCATGACCAACGATTGCATACCGTTGCTGCCTCCAATTTCATCGCTGGAAACATAGTGTTGCAGAGGTGGTATGCACTGTCATTCGTGGTTCGACGTACCATAATGTCGCAGCAAACCTCTCCACTCCACAGAACTTGGCGAGCTGTTGTCCGGCTTGCATGATATCAGCGCCGGCCGTCAGACGCTCCGAACCGACTGAAGGCGACCCCATGAAGCCTGGGATGCAAGGAATATGGTGAGAATCGACATGCATCGATCGAGGACGTTCGTACCACCACGAGCAAGAACTGCGTCATCTGCCAGCGACGAGTGGTCGACGATTCGGAGCACTTTTCCATCACGGAGCATTTGCCTAGTCTTCAAGTACGTCGGATACGGGTTCCCGCCTCCGCCCTGCAGTACGTGAGTTGATGGCTAGTACAGCAACTGGAACAACGTACGGTCCCCAGCACTCCGCATCCTTCTTGGATAAAGACTGGGGAGAAAGGGCCAAAAATTAGACAACGAAGATGCACTTTTTGGGTACTCACACAAGTCGGTCTCGCTCAAAATCCATTCATTGCCCACAATCTTCGGCCTATACGACCGATAGTCGATCCCTGTTTCACCGTCACTCCCATCGAGTATAATTTCTTGCGTTGATTCGGGTTCTTCCTCTAGATCGGTATCGTATGCAGTGTCGTTCTTTGGCAACCACGACTCATTTGGAATTCCGAGCTCCCCAATTGCCTTTACGATGATTCGTGTTGCTTGGTTAGTGACATACTGGCGATAGGTGAGGAACTGCGACAACGAGGAAGTCACGAGCAAACCTGGACGGGAAGTATGTTGATATCGGCGATTGAGACACTGTGCTCCTCTGCTCCGGCAACAATAGCCTTTGTGATTGCCTGTGTCTTGATACGCCCCAACACTTCGTGAAGCTTCTGTCCTTGAAGTATTTCTATGGTGTCGATGTCTCCGGAAACGTTGGCCACTGCTGCACCGACAGCATTTGCAACGCTGTGGAATGGCGGGATACTTTGAAAGCTCAATGCAGCACGAGCGGTGTGAAAAGTTACCTACATAATTTCCTCGACACCCTTGAGCTCCGAAGGAACAATGATAGAGCCACCGCCGACTAGCAAGACTGTGCAGTCGTCCGGACTTGTTTTCATTCGGTCTATTATATTCTAATGGAGAAGGTCAGCCGCAAGGCACTTTCCAGCAAATTGTGCCGAACCTCAAGCAGTTTGTGTGCTACTTTCTTGGCTTGCATAACCGTTTCATCCGCAACATGTTCAACTTTGGTCGCGTCGCCGATACCCTGCGCACCGGAACGAACAGCAACGTCGGTGGTTGTCAAAACTTTGCCTCCGAAAACTTTCGCGTCACGAGTCAACTAAGGCAGACCGGTGAGCGAGCATACGGAGAATGGAGTCAACGCCAGCGAACATAATGGCCGACGGAATCCGGGCCAACGGTAACACGGCCGCTGGCATCTGTCCGGACTCTAGACCCTCCACCCAATCCGATAGAGTGGATATCCGGCATCGAGAAACTGTGTCCACGATGAATGGTGAACCAAAAGAATTACTGTGTACTAACTTCGTTCGAACACCCGCAACTGTATCATTTATTAGGTCGTAATTATTCTAAACCTGTTACACGGACCTTCAATGAATGCAGCCGCCTGCCTAGGAAATCCACTGGGAAGCAAGACACCAACATCCGTCGTGGTTCCCCCAACGTCCACCACAATCATACTTTTGGATGTTCCTTCCTTCTTCTGAAGATCAATTCCTGCCAAGAACGAGGCCCCTTCGCGTCCGGCGAATTAGAGAGGAATCACAGAGGGGAAAATATCAGCAACGAACCACGCATGGAGTTAGTGGCACCAGAGGAAAATGTGCGGATAGGCAACCTGGCGGCATCGGTCGCACTTGTGAGAATTCCATCGTTCTACAATTATCTTATCTCTTATTTCCGATTCGAGGAGTAAACTCGAAACAAACCTGAGTGAGATACAGGGGGCAGAGCAGTCCGAGTCGCTTCATGGCATTCTGGAACCCGCGGATGGTTCGTTGAGCGAATGCTCCGATTGACGCATTAAGGATTGACGCATTTTCGCGTTCAATAAACCCTACTTGTGCAACTGTAGAGAGTCAGCTGAGTTTCACGCTTTCAATCGCATGTCAGACCATCGCGAGAACAAACTATGTTGACGTCTGGTCCAAGCTCCCGGACAAGGATATCACGAGCCAAGTATTCGTTCTTTCCGTCGACGTCCAACGGCGAAACTATGGAAAAATGATGAAGCCGTTTATCTTGAGCGGGAGAAAAAGATACTGACAGACGCCGATGAGCACAATGTCCTTGAGCCCCTTAAGTTTGATCTGCTCGGCTTGTTCAACGACCTCGGCCTCGTCGATTTCGTTGATCGGACGGCCGTCACTGTAGAGAAGTTTGAATATCGCAGGATATGAACATGGCATCTGACCTACATCTGGAGTCCTCCTTTGATTATTGCGGTATGACCATCCATGAGCGCTCTGAGGTGCGGAGGAAAGTCTATGAACTGACGAATAGTTCAGTCAATTCTGTGAGGTGAATCGGGGGATTGAACTTGCTGGTGGATGTTCGACAGTATAGGGTGCAGCTAGTCTAATAACTGCGACCTTGGATAATCTTCTTGCATCTGCTTGAACGACAGCGTTGACGAAATGCTAGATTTAAATGAGCACCATTGGTGTCAAGTCAGCAAGACCCACAGTCGTTCCGATAGTCAAGCTGAGAATCTTTCCGCCTTGAGGATCCACACCCGCGTCGGCGACGACCTTCCTCACAGCCGCCTCGATGCCGTCCGTTACATTTGGTGTCGTCTCATGCTTGAAGCTCGCGATAACACCTCTGGTCAATGGATCTGAGGTCCGTGCGATATCCAGGATCGCTGCGTCGGTATTCGTGCCTAAGCATTGGTCGATGAGAAACCCGGAGGAGGATGTAGAGCTGCTTTGAACCTCCGACATCCACACCGATTCTGTATCGACTCATGGTCTCACGGAGGTGGTTACGCGCGTTTTCGATTCGAGCCTTATTGAGTTGGATTGCGACTCCGGGCGGGCAGTCTGGGATTCGGAAGTATGGAATCTATGGATGGAGTCAAAAGGAAAGCAGGGTGAGCAAAACAAATGCATCAGCCGGGAGTCGAACCCGGAGCTAGGCCAATCGCCATGACATAATCGCCATTACATAAGCAAGCGGTGGGAAGACCCAATGTTACCGCTACACCACTGATGCGTTACAGTCTGCCTGAAAGCAGTGCTCAGGTCGGGAAAGGGAAATAAAGTACCAAGTCGAAAGGAGGAACGGACTTGTGATTTTTCCAAGATTTTTCCCTCTTTCTTTTGCTGTCCATTTGGAAGCTAGGAATGGCTGCGTTACCAAGTAAGGGTGTGTTGCCCTTTTCGCGCCTGCAGCAACAATCTCAACCCACCTATGTCTTGGGAAAGTTGCATATGTAGTCAACTTAGTAAGTTAGGCTTTGCTTCCATTGCAATCGAGTGGCTCTCACTTTATTGCGCGAGCAGCTTGGTCGAGACACAGACAGAATTAGAATGAGAGCACGCGGACATGTTACCTCATCTCACAGCATCTTGCGCGCGCGTCTGAATGTTTGCTGTCAACGAGTTTGATGGTTCCATTCCTATACATTCCGGTCCGCCGGAGGCAGGTGCGCTGGTTACTGTGCCGTCGAGTACGAGGAACTGCTGGGGGATTGTTCTACGCATCTGAGATTCCCGATCACCGTAGCCACTGGTGGTACATTGACAATTGCCGGTACCGGGTATACTGAATAAATAACGTCCCTCCGATAGATATTTAACGGCCATAAACCAGAGAGGAAGATGCTCAGAAAATAGCACGAACGAGTCCGCCACCGATAGCGGCACCGGCACCGAAACCCACCCCGCCTGCTGCCGAGTGGGCCATCTGAGACTGAAATGAACATGCTGTTCGAGCAGAACATCCTGCAGACCGACCGTGTCGCCGTATTTCCCGTACTTGCTCTTCTTCTTTTCTTGTTCGGGATCCTGCTGTAAGCCCAGTGAGTTGGTACCGCCCCCGGGTGCAGGGGGGGCATCGCGGCCCTGGTGGGCTGCCATGAAAGGTTTGTATGCGGGCTTAGGTCCCGCATTATTGGAGATGGGAGCCACGTTTCGCGCGGCAGGAGCTGAGATCTTCTCGACATAAGCCGAGGGGAACAGCGCTTGTTTCCCGTTTATCCTGCCCATCCACCAGTCGGCGTTCTCCTCTTTCACGACTGGCGGAATTTAGGGGTAAGCTGCTATTGCGTTGATTTGACATACCTTCTATGATGTCCCCCGCAGAGAATGACAGGTCGTCGGCGTCCTACGAGGTCTAAGTCCTGTGCTGCAACCATGGCAGTGCATCCTACCTGTCCATTCTCGTTGTACGGCCATAAAGCGCGCGCCTGTACAACCGCAGGTGCTGCCGGCGCATTCACTCCACGACGTGGAGCGTAGGGTGCAGGGGCCGGCATGGCCCGTGGTGCAGCAGCACCAGAGCTGGGTAGCTTTGCAAGGAAAACAGAGGCATCAGACTGCGAAATATAATTTTGGGAAACCAGAAAGTTGACGTTGCTGAAGGATGTGAGCGGACAGGGAGCCAAGGGGTAATTGAGCACACCTCTCAACTTGAGAGACGACGTGGGCAAGGAGAGCGGCCTCAGACATGGTGGGGAGACGAAAGTGCAGTTCCGCGGTGGCTGTCCCGGCGTGATTCGAATCATTTGATCAAGTCGCGCTCTTGCCGCGCACCATGTCCTTCGCGCCGTTGAGCAGGCCGGCCCAGTTTCAGGTCAAGCTTGACCAAACCCCAAACCAACCACAGTCGGATGGATTCAATGTTGGTGCTCTTTCCGTCTTTCTGCAGTTTCTAACGTTGTCCCAAGTGGCCTACTTTCCGACTATTGAACAAGCAAGCACGCGTAACCTTGTCCCCCGACTTTCTGGATCCGTTGAATGTCCGCAGGGTGCTTACAACCGCCAATACCAACGGTGGCTGGTTTGCGGCCACGACATCGCGAGGCAAGGAATATTATTACTATCTTCTCTTTCTGACCTCTGAACAGGTCTCATCGTCTCCCCGTTGAGCGAGCTACGCGCTGCCTTCCAAAGCGGATCTGACGCAGTCTTCTCGCCCAAACGAACCCTCCCCTGCAATCCTGTTGCCGTTGCGTTTGCATTCAATGACACGCGCCTTCTCGCCGGAACCGAGCAGGGCCAGATACTAGCTTTTGACACTGCTCAGCTCATCTCGTCTGCTGTCCAAGTGGAACCGCTCCAGGTCTTCCAGGGATCGTCGAGCCCTGCTGCACAAATCTTGCCAAATCCGAGCAGCGAGAATGAGCTCGCGCAACTTGTAGTCATCGTGAGGGTGGATGGGACCGTGCAGATGCTCAATTCGCAGATGGAATCCAGGGGTGCTTGGGCTGGAACGGATTTTGAAAGTACTCCCGTCGCAGGTCCGTCATGAGTATAACACGGACCGGATTATAAGCTCAACTTTTCTAGCGTCCTGGTCTCCCAAGGGGAAGCAAGTTGCCGTCGGACTGCGTTCTGGCGATATACTAACCTTTGGGTTGAACAACAACGCATTGCCTCTCAAACATATCCCGGCGACGGCGGCTTCCCCTTTAGTGTCCGTTCATTGGGTCGGGCCTGCTTTTACTTTCCGTACGAGTTACGGTTCGGGAACCACAGATCCTCCGCACCATATCGTTTCCTTGGACACGCGATCCAACACGGCGGCTTTCATCCAACTAGCCCACCCTTTCCCGTTGGCAGACCGATCACAAAATGCTCAAGTCCTCGTCTTACACCGATGGGATCAGGACTCGGGCGCATCTGCCGATGATGCCAAAAATCTCATTGTCGTAGGAGACACCTCGTCCACTGACCTCGAGGTGCTTGGGAGCGCGGGTTCTCGCTGGTACCAACAATCGCAAGAGAACCAATTATCCGTGCCCCTTGACAAGAATGACCAGGACACATTCCTTCTTACCGTAGATTTAGACCTGACCGACGAGCTTCCCATTATGTACGGCTATCTGAATGATGGCACTGTACAGGCGTGGTACATAACACACCCGGACTCGAAGCCATACGCTGGACTGGTCGGCGCCGGTGCTTCTCCCAGCGCCCCAGCATTTGGCCAGCAAGCTAGTGGCTCTGCGTTTGGCCAGCCACAGCAACCCACTACTTCCGCCCCCGCGTTCGGTCAATCTTCCGGTTTTGGACAATCGTCGACCTCGGCGTTTGCTCAACCTCAGAGCACATCACCATTCGGACAATCTCAGACGACCTCTGCTTTCGGTCAGTCGGCATTCGCACAGAAGCCGGCATTCGGTCAGAGTGCGTTTGGCGGACAATCCAGCACGCCATCTTCCGCATTTGGCTCGTCGAACACTACGTCTGCGTTTGGTAGTTCCGCTACACCCAGCGCCTTCGGTTCATCCACTAGTGGTGGCTTCTCTGCGTTTGCTTCCACCCCAAGCGCATTCGGAGTGTCCAACAATCCTCCAACCGCACCTCCACTCAATTCGACACCGTCCGTTTCGATGGGCGAAGCCGCACCGTCCTTTGGTGGTCTCTCTCTCGGCAGCTCGAATTCTGGGTCGGACAACAAATCCAAGGCTGTCGGAGGAGGAATGTTTGGATCACCCAGTCCGCTTCCACTACCTCCGAACCATCCCGCCAACCAACCTACGACCCCGACCCCGTCCACATTTTCCGATCCGGCTTTGATTAAACCTGCCACCGGATTCGGTGCTTTCGGTGCTGCGGGGAGTGGAGCGTTTGGGGCCTCAAAACCTAGTGCGTTCGGTGGAGGAGCTTTCAGTGGAGGAGCATTCGGAGGAGGAAACAATGGTAGTAGCGACCCCAAACCCGCGGCCACCAGCAGTACTGCCGCGCCAGCATTCGGGAAAACAGGCTTTGGGCAAACCGGGTTCGGTCAAAGCGGTTTCGGGCAGACGAGCTTTGGGCAAAAGCCTGCGTCCGCGTTCGGCCAGTCCGGTTTCGCATCCGCGGCGCCAGCGACTCCTTCGCCAAGCGGAGGAGGGTTTAGCGCGTTTGCCTCTGCCGGTCCGACAGGTTTCGCGAACGCCGCTAGTTCTACTTTTGGTGGCGGAAATACTGGTGGCTCTCCGTCTGCGGCGCCAACGGCTGCACCGGCAACGGGGGGATTTGGTGCGTTTTCTTCTGCGAGCCCAACAGCATTCGGTCAAGCTGCGACTACGTCTCCCTTCGGTGGAGGAACGGGAGGAAGTTTTGGAGGTGGCACTTCTCCATCCCCGTCTTCGGCTAGTGCGTTCGGTGGAGGTGGCGCCTCACCGTCTCCGGCTAGTGCATTCGGTGGAGGCAATGCTTCGCCGTCCCCTGCCAGTGCTTTCGGTGGCGGTAGTGCTTCGCCGAGTGCTTTGGGTGGAGGTGGTACTTCACCGTCTCCATTTGGTGGAAGCGCAAGTACCCCTAATCCTGTTGCCTCGGCGTTTTCCGGCTTCGCTACTCCTGGTAACTCACTTTTCGGGAACAAGACTCCACAGCCCAGTCCAGCTGCACAGCCAAATTCCAGATCCTCTTCTCCCGACTCCGCGAAGGATGAAGGGTCGCCTTCGCCCCCCGACAGCCCGCCTCCATCCGGAAAGCCCCCATTGAAATTCACTACCACCAGTCCACCAACGACAACGGGCGCCTTCGGGAACTTGAAAAGTTCTTCTACGGGTTTCAAGCCCGCCTCTGGGTTTGGAGCTTTTGGAAGCGACACGACCCCGAGCTCGTCCCCTTTCTTCAATGCCGCCTCTCAGCCCAAAACGCCTCCGGTGTCGGCCTTTGGCAGCTCCAATTCAAGTGCCCCCGCCACGCCCACGCCAGCGGCCGCTGCCGGAAAGCCTGCGTTCGGTGCCCCGTCACAGCTTGGGGGGCTCAAATCGGCCTTTTCCCCCGTCTCTCCCGCGTCCACCCCTCCGAAAACGCAAGCCCCCGTTTCCGGTGGCTTTGGCGCCTTCGTCAGCTCTCCGGTTAGCCTAACCTCTTCAGCGGCCCCGGCCAAGTCCTTCGGTGAGCTTTTGAAATCCGGCGATGAGGCGGCCGAGAAGCCCAAACCGGTTTCGGCTTTTGCCGGATCTGGGACCCAGCCCAAACCGGCATCCCCGGCATCCTCGCCCTCTCCTGCGCCGACGCCCATCAAACCTGTCCCAGTGTTCACACCTCCAC